GTTGACCAAAAATAAGTCTTTTTCTGTTATTTTTTTTAAGTTTATATTAATTAGTTTTCAGTGAACTTTGTGTAATTTTTTTGTTATTTATGTTATGTTGGTATTTAACCAGTCAGGTATATTGTTATATGTTTTCCTGTGAGGAATATTGATCATCTTGGTCTTTATAAGTCTGGACCAGCAGGTATTGCTGTATTACAGTTCATGAAACTGATTCGGTTTTATTTTGACCGTCGGTGACCTGTGCTTACTTCTGGGGCTTAATGGATGTGCAGTTTTACCAGAAAATTTGGCACAGTGTTGCGGTCCGGCAATACTTACTAGGGGAAAAATGCCAGGCCTGAAATAACGAGGTTTAACGTATTTTTGGCACAACATTCACCACCATCTTGGGCAGCGGTTGGCACCACTGAGCCCTCCACCTCCATCTTGGGGAACAGTTGTCATCCCTGACAGTATTCTATTCCACTTCAATTCAGGGACGTTTTTAACTTAATTCAGACAATGAAATGTTTGAATATACAACTGTTTACATAAATATGATGTAAATTACTAATAATGGATGATGTTAATAATACTCAACATAGTATAACAAAGAGAAAATGATTTAATGTTGGCAGACGTGGTGAGTTGGTGTAATTTACATGTTGTGCACGAGACGGTGTCATGGTGGCAATGTTCCTCTGCCTCCCCCCAACCATCTCTTAGTTCCCTCCTGCACTTGTTCCATCTTCCCGTGATTCCTGGTTGTCTTGTTCTGGGGTTATTTTGTTTACTTCTACAGCTCCAAAGAATAGATTGTCCTACAAGTCTAGTAAAACAAAAAAAAGAGTATTTCTATGTCTTCATTATGTGTCGGCCAGCCAGAAATCGCTGTCTCTTGTTAGCATGGGTTTTCACTTTTCATTTTATTTAGGATTCTGAAGAGTAATGGGTTGAGAAGTATGGGTAATAGAGTATGGGTTATGGGGAGGTCGCTATATGGAGTGTAATACGTACTGTCACACCCTCTGGTCACCTGCCAAACTATGCCCCCGGAATTAGTATCACTTATGGTTATGTAATATAGATCACTGACTCGTCTAAGCGTATGCATATTGACGTCATAATCCAAAATGGCCGCCACTAAAAAAAATATATTCTATTCAATTTTGGTCCAGAAAATATATAGTTGTAGATGAAAATATGCTACAGAATATAAAAGGCATGAGTTTGATGCCTGAGATGTGAAATAATGCCTTCTTGGTCCTACAGCATAACAACTCATGTGTATACGATAAAAATAAGTGTGTATTTAAAATTGGTTAATTAAACACAAGAAGACTTCGGCTACAGGGTAAAGAAAGAAAATTCATGTGATTTTTTGTTATATATCAGTTTGGTGAGATGAAGACAGACAGACAGAGAGACAGAGAAACAGACACTGTGCTAACGCTATCCTGGCCACGTGAGCATTGTACACTGGAGGACCGATGAAGAACTGGAGGCTTAAGGGAGTTATGTACACTGAAGTATAAACCAGGTGGTGCTGCCTTCCTCCCCTCCCCAAGTCCAAGGAGCGTGAGGCACCGTGGGGAGGCAGTGACCCTAATACTGTATAATATCTCCAGCAGCTCTTGTGGTGTAAGAGAGATACTTCCTGTCTGGCGAAGTTTGATTTATCTGTAAACATTATCATCTACCAACATCTAGGGTACGTACTGGTTCTATCAGACTGTACAATAAGGTATATTTTCACTTTGGTCAGGTACTGTTGTGAGACTTTATTATAAAACGTTGATGACAAACTGGCAGATGTATCGTTCGCCTTTGGGTATGTCATCCAATCACACCTGACGGGATTTTCACACCGTCCTGTAAAAGAAAGTAACTGTCTCAATAGCTGAAGTCCTGCCAGGAAAGTAGCGCCAAAAGAGATATTCATCCTTAGTGGTTGATGGTATTGTTGTTTCGTCTGTACAGTGTGTCAGTGTGCAGTGAAATCATAGAAAATCTTTTACGTGATAAATAGACATATCTCTTCCTCTCCTCTGGCCACCATGATGCCTTCTACAGCCGCCCAGGAACACGTGAGAGCTCCACAGAACAAGGAATAACTGTTGTTGACATTATATACTTTGATGATATCGTGTGATGTCAGCCATCTTGGAATATGACGTCATGACTGCAAACGGAGGTATATCCCTTTGAAAATGTCCTTCGTGACCAACCTAACCTAACTAGAGGGATATATGGAAGGGATAAAAGTAAGAATAATGTGTGTTTATCTGTGTGTGTGTTTGTGAGAGAGTGAGAGAGTGTGTGTGTGACAGAGAGAGAGATGGGGGCAAGGGTTCACTAGGAGAGCTTGGCAAGAGGTAACTATGCCAGATTGTAGACGAATGACTCACCTGTTGGTCCCGCCTCCCCTCACACCTTGTCTCTCTCTCTCTCTCTCTCTCTCTCTCTCTCTCTCTCTCTCTCTCTCTCTCTCTCTGTTTCTTATCCATATCCTATCCCTCATTTTAATTTTCTCCTTTGTCATTTTACCCTTTTCATCCAAGTCATCTCCTCGTTTAAGGTAACTTGAAGGAGAATTAGATAAATAATAATATAATAGTTATCCATCCAATCTTACCAACTTCGTTTTCTTCGTTAGAAATTATTTATTGAAGAAAATGGTATTCTAAGGGGAACTAATCTCAAATCTCACTGTATTTAGCCCATTTGCTGTACAGTATATTTTACTATCGACATAATATGGCGTGGTCATTCAAATACAAATAAATATAATGGAAACTCTTAGCTACAATAGGTTAAAATAATAGTATTACCTATTTGTCTCCTACATGGCGTTGTAATTTGTCTCAGATCTTTTATTTTTTGTTTTAATGGAATAATGTTCAGGGGCGGATCCAGGGCGAGTTCCAGGGGGGGGGTCCGGATCCCTCATTTTAATCCGAAAATTCCAATACTTTAATGCAGTATTGTACTCAAGCATTTATGTATAGTAAAAAGTAATTACTATTGACCTCAAAATATCTCCTAATATCAAGGCACATGGCTTCAAAATGTCTATGATATTGGTCAGATTTCAAACATTTTCGGTGGGGGGGCTTACATCACCTCCCCTAGCCCCCCTGCATGAGTGGGTTCGCTGTGCTCGTCATGTTCTCTCACCCACAACGTCTTGGACCCCCCCCCTCTAACCCACAACGTCTTGGACCCCTCTAACCCACAACGTCTTGGACCCTCTACTTGACCCCCTCCCCAACGACTTGGACCCCCTCCTTTTGATATTCCTGGATTCGCCCCTCTGATGTTTGTTGGGCTGAAGATTATTTTAACCCGTGACTAACTTTTTCCTCACTTTTTGCTTCCTCTTCTCTGGGGAGGAGAAGTATGTCCTTCTTTTCTTACTGAATTACAACTCTTGTCCTCCTAGATCAGTCGTGGACAGGAATAATGAGTGAGTTTTAGGTCAGCTTCACCTTAGGTCGGCCACGAAGCTTCTTGAGTTTGTGGGGCAAAATAAAGCCTTACTGTATGTGATCATCTGAAGCTTATCCCCCAAGCTTATTTCACCTGATGATTAAACGCCGTAATGATACCTAACCTAACCTAACCTAACCTAACCTAAACTAACTCATCCAGATAGCATTATAATATTTAATCACCAGGTTATCGTAGTCAGTACATATAGTTTAGCCTAAAGGTAACTAAGTGTTGACAACCTGGATAAAGTGAATCATAGAGCCAGACAATCAAACACTCAGTTGTCTTATCATTTACTATCTAACAGCAGCTCAAATTAACACTTAAGGCCAAGTAACAGATTTTTTTTTATGTTACGTTATGTTAGGTTAAAGTTATGTTAGGTTAGGTTAGGTTAGGTTAGGTTAGGTTAGGTTAGGTTAGGTTAGGTTAGGTTAGGTTAAGTTTATTAGACATTTGATCACAATTTGAACTGTCCCAGCGTCACCCAAAGGCCACAATAGACAGGTCTCAGCACACAGTCGTCAAGGTTTGTTATATTAAGTGAAAGTTGAAGAGTGAGGTGATGCAAATGGTATGTGTCAGCTCAGCCAATCAGCCACGACGTGAGATAAGGTAGGGTGTGTTTCTCTGTGTCTGTTACTCCTAATCCTTATCTCACACTTACAAACTATTTTAAGAGAAATAGAATTCACAATAGAACACCCGTAATCAAGAAATCATTTACAAGTGGTTTGATAATGACTTTTGAGGAGGTGGTGGAACAGTTAATTACAATAGTCACGTGTCGGCTAGGTGATTACTGGTCAATGCTAAGTCATGTCATATGGTAAAGGCGTATCCTGGTCCGCTTTATGAGACAGGAGGTGATGGTTATGACTCTTATCTTCCTCTTATTCGTGGAAGGGTTAGGCTAGGTTAGCGTTAGGGTGTTTTAATCTGAAGGTGAAATGAGCTGGGCGAGTGAATTTTCAGGTAATAAGATACAAGGGGATGGCTAAGCAACGCCTTCACTTGACTGGATTCTGGAACGGGAAGACTGTGGTGGGGAGGAAAGACTGATTTTATTTGACTTCTCTTAAACATCAATGATTTAAAACTCTAGAATAACCTGATATACACAGTCATTTAATTACGGAAAATGAAAACTACTTATTATCCGAACTCCTGTAGTTGTTTTACTTTAAGATTTACCTGAAATTGTGATTACATAAGCAAACTGTCTTGATAATTTAAAGTGGATTCATTATACTTCAGCTTTATCTTGAAAATAAGACCTATAAAATATAATTATTATGATAAACAAAAGATATTTATTATATCTGTTAAATTAATACTGATAATACTGATCGATAAAGCAACTATGTACCGCTATCATTAAAATATACATATAGTAAATTAATATAAATTCTACTAATAATATATGAAACTTATATATTAAAATAATCTTATATGGTTTATTATATTTATAAAAGATAGATTATATTATAGATATTGACGTTTGAAGTAGTGTTATCCAAGGCGGCGGCAGAGTTAGTGAACATTACCACAACAGCCATGGCATCGTCTGCTGGGGACCGACTCGCTGTCATTAAGAGACATTTGGTGTGTCATAAACGGTGCAGATTACAACATGAGACACCAGAAGGCTCGGCTGTGGGTAACTGTAGTGATGAGGCTGTGAGAAAAGGGCGGCAACATAAAGGAGTTGGGTGGCAGCCAGTAGCGTCCAGGCCGCCCACCCCCACCGCCCCTACTGTACCCAGGAGACGGTAACAAACATAACCTTTTCTACATATATATTACTTAAACCGAACCTAAAACTGTATAATTTACTATACATTGCACACTTTGTTACAGATATACTGCCTAAGACTAATTTAAAACTATAATTTAGTATCATTTGCCTTTATAATCTTAACTTTATATACCGTCTGTCAGAGGCTAACAGAGCTTTATATACTCTGTTGTAAGTTAAGAGGATAACATTGTAAATAACTATGACTATTACTTTATTGATGATACCCTACAAATAACTCAGAATCACATTTAAGTTATATACATTAATAAGAGTGTTGACTGTTCCTTACACTGTGCAGTGGATTATGGCAATACTCTATGTCATTTATTAAAGGGTCTTTGTAAAAAATAACTAACATAACCTAGCTTAATTGATAAATGAATTACACTTGTCAGGCTAGATAAAGTTAGATAGGTTAAGTTAGTTTAGTTCACATCAATTTTCATAATTTTGTAAGTTATAGGCCCAATTATTTAAGAATCATTTTATTAGGATCATCTTTACTCCAACAGACAAGAGTTACTAAAATGGAATGGCTGGGGCTACAAAGACTCAAAGTTCGTGGTGCACAAGGAGAAAGATTATTGCATCGCATTTACGGGGGAAAGGTGAGAGCAGCTGGTACAAGTCTTATAATTTTTCCACAAACGATAATGATTTTATACTTCCTACACAGTAATGATCATAAATAAAATAGATTGAGATGCTTAGGTAAGTTTTCCCACTTTATACCTAGACATGATATTTTTTTAATGAGATCTTCACTATTATGTTTGTTTTAATGCAAAGAAAAGATATCAATTAGAGTTCAAGGAAGAGACAAGTTTGAGAATAATTTTTATCACATCTCTATGACTAACCACAGGTAATCTAGCTTTGTGTAGGTTAAGTTTGGTTGGTTTTGTGGTGTGTCTCGTAACTGCCTTTCAGACTAGTCTTTCATCACTTCACACAAGTTTTTGATTCTCTACATTACAAAATACATGTCAGTAGGTCAGTACAGATCTGATCTTCCATTTATAAGCAAAGATTAAAAAATTTTCTTAGAATGTAGGACAGATTATGCGCAGAGATTAAAAAAAAGGCGTTTGAACACTTTTCTAGGTACAAAATTGGTAATCTGGTATTGCCTCACTTTGCTGATTGGGTGAAGAATACCTTAGGAGTCAAGTTTGATGACTGTAGCCCACCACAACCACCCCCTGAGCCCCAGGCGTATCCTGAACCCATCGTGGAGCAAGGTAAGAGTACAGTACGTGGGTCGTTTTAATGCTCCCAGAACACTACCACAGATTGTAACATTAATTTTCTATTTTAATAACTTTATAATTGTCTCAGTTTTGTATTTTCTCAAGTTTATGTTATTGTGTCAACATTTTTCTTTTCTCTTCCTTCATAATTTTTATCCCATTCCCTCTAAAAAAAGAAGCAATTCCTCATGTGTTTTATGCATTTCTGTAATTCCCTCATGTTCTTTTCTTTTATTTCATCTGATTTTTATATTGATAGATTCTTATTATCTGTATATTACCAGAATTCCTAGATGAAGTACAAACATTGGGGATCACTCATAGCTTAGATGGAGAGGACCGTCTCTTCCGGGCTCATGGTCACACACTGGCTGAGATATTTACACTACGAGAAGGAATGTTCCCAAGAATCCCGGACTTGGTGGTGTGGCCAAGTAAGTCACTGAGTTTGGGCGGTTAAGGTTGAGATGAATTTTTACATTTCTCTCTTTGATATAATAACTGTATGAAAGTAAATAAACCTTGGATTATTTTCTTGGGTAAATTATGTTCTTGTGTAATGTGATAATTCCGTGAAGTATATCAAGAATGAATATATTGGAGTGAAGTATAGTTGGCAGAGAGACTGGTGAAATAGTGGTGGAGAAGTTAGGAGTAAGGCTGATGAAATAATGGTACTGTACTATACTGTAGTTGATCGATAGACTGATGAAATGATTAGTGGTGATTATAGTACAGTATTTTGAAAACATTTTGTATTTAGAAACATGAAAGAATTTATTGGATATTATTGTATGTTTAGAAAAAAGTGATCTGTATTTCGTTTAACTTTTTTTTTTTAGAAAACCACAGTGAGGTAGAGAAACTTGTTGATCTGGCGTCCAGGAGTCAGGTCGCTCTTATTCCATTTGGTGGCGGCACAAGTGTGTCTGGTGCTTTGTTGTGTCCAGAGGAAGAGAGCCGGATGATTGTGTCCCTCGATACATCACAGATGGTGAGTAACATTATGGTTCTCATGACTCACGATTTGATATAAGGAATTTGTTGAAGTGTTATGCTTATATGGAGATGAAATAGCGAGTAATTCTGGCGCAGGATGTGGTAAATAGGCTAGACGGTACAGAAAATGTTGTTAATGGGCCTCCCAGTATGCTAATAATGGTTCTATTATTACAGGTCTAAATTTCATGCTATGGAATTATTTTTCAGTGCCGCATATTGTGGTTAGATGAGAAGAACCTTACAGCAAGGATAGAGGCAGGGATAATTGGACAAGATCTTGAGAGACAACTTCAAGTCAGAGGTTACACCACAGGGCATGAACCTGATTCCTATGAGTTTTCTAGGTAGGAGTTTTAAGGAGTGAAAAATGTATAAATCAACTTATGTTTTTTGTATTTAATTTTCTACATTAAAACAAGATAAAACATGCCCAGATTTTCTAAGATAAAGATGTCCTCGATAAGGTACGGTATATTTTATTTTTTCATAATTATCTTTTCATTGTTTACTCTTCAGTCTGGGTGGATGGGTTGCAACAAGAGCTTCAGGGATGAAGAAAAACATCTACGGGAATATTGAAGACCTTCTAGTCCAGGTGAAAGTGGCCACACCGAGAGGGACTGTGGAGCGGTACACGGCAGGTCCTCGGGTGTCTGCTGGCCCCGATGTGCACCACTTTATTTTAGGGTCTGAAGGTGAGTAATACTGTAGTTGTTATAAGGCTTGGGCTAGGGTGTGGTTGATGACTTGTCTATTGATTCGTATAATATAAGTGTCCTTGGCTGCCTTGACATTTTATTGAAGTTGATGGTTGTTGTTTGGTAAGTGAGTTGTGCTGCCACATCAATGAATTTACTCTCATTATCTTCTTTTCAGTGCGTAATACTGTATAGTAATTTTTTTTTATGTAGAAATGTACTGAAATGTAATTAAAGATTTAATTTCTTTTAACGAGTGTCTTGTTATATTTACTTAATGACTTTTTTTGGCTTGATAATTGAAGACTTGACGGTGTGACTTTGCCCACAGGCACTCTTGGGGTGATAACTGAGGTGACAATGAAGGTGCGACCTATCCCTGTTGTCAAGCACTACGGCTCCATTGCCTTCCCAGATTTTTCCAGCGGTGTTAACTGTATGAGAGAAGTTGCATTCCACCGTTGCCAGCCAGCCTCTATACGCTTAATGGACAACGAACAGTTTAAATTTGGTGAGCATATCTGAGTGATTCAAATCTTATCAGCCGAGTCTTTATACTGTATTTATATTGAGTGTATCATTACAAGGAAATTGAATAACACAGCTAGTTTATGTAGGATTTAATTGATAGTACTGTATTGATAAATAAAACTTCTAAATCCTCATTTATATTATATTTGTTGTAAGACTTGTTTTCATGATCCTATTTTTTTTTATTATTATTGATCGATGATATGATTTACTCATGTCATTTGAAGTGTAAGTTCTCATATGTGATAGATCAGTAAATGAGGGGTAGATTATTTATGTGTATTAATTGATGTTGTTTTTCAGGTCATGCCTTGAAGCCCCCGACTGATTTGATGGGTCTCCTCACGGATGGTATAAAGAAAATGTATATTACACGTATACGAGGGTTTGACCTGAACACTATGTGTGTCGCGACTCTCTTGTTTGAAGGTACTGTAGAGTCCCGTCACCAGTGATGTCAACATATTTCAGAGTTTTTAGTCAATTAGTTTTTGTTTTTGTCATGTTGTTGCCTCCAGGAGTAAAGGGCAGCCACACTATTTATATAAGGGGAAGAGGGATATGGTCTGGTGAAACTAATCATGGTGGTGGCATCCTGTGCTTCTGGGAGTAAGAAGGAGAGAAAGTGTCTTGTTAAATCTTTTGTCATGTTATGTATATTTCATGTCTTCCCTAACAGGTTCTGAACAGGATGTGGCATTACAGGAGAAGCGCTTATACTCCATAGCACTAAACAACGGAGGTATCCCAGCCGGTGAAGCAAATGGCGAGAGAGGCTACATGTTGACGTTTGTCATAGCTTACATAAGGGTGAGTTGATGATGTCATATGATTGGCACTTATGTGGGATGCTGTGAGAGAGAGAGATACAATATGATAAAAGTAATACAGAGGACAAAGGAAATATGTGATTATAGGACAACTGGAGGCAGTTCTGTAGTGGCCCCTCCTCTGAACAGGAAGCTCCCTGTGGGAATGAGGCTTTACAAATAGGATAAGAATACCATCAAGAGATTACACTTTAGAAGGAAGTACATGATCACAATGACACAGCTCCACTACCATCAGGGAGCTGTACATTGAAATGAAGATCCTTGAATATACATCATAAAATATTACCTGGGTAGATATACTGATGTGATGGCTAATTTCTTGGGGCATTATTTTCCAGGATCTCGGGTTTGACTACGGTATAGTTGCCGAGTCATTTGAGACCTCTGTTCCGTGGGACCGGGTTTACGCTCTCTGCCATAATGTCAAACATCGCATCAAGTCTGAGTGTAAAGGTTAGCTCACTTGTATATTATGGTAGTGTTTGTAATATGTGTAATGATATTCAGTTTTATGATCTTGAGATATACTGCGAACTATATTTTTCTATAGTATGGAATTTTATATTATTGTAAATGACTGAAATCTAAATGTTAAGACTAAAGCTTTTGGATGATGTCGGTCAAACTATCAACAGTACAGCACTGCAGTGATTACCCCCAAAAAAAAATAACGTCTGGCAGCAGTATGTGGTGAGGTGTATTGCCATGGCGGTCTATTTAAACAAAGCTGCATAATCAATTGATAGACTGCCAGTACAGGTATTAGTTGTCTCTGGTGAAAAGTTAAAATGCTGTGAATATAATAAAATTTCACTCAAATTGTGAAGCATAGACAACAGTTTTACAATGTTGCTGAAAATTTAAGTACTGTATAGAAGGTTGAAAATAAAGCAGGTCTGGTTCATAGTGTTTTACCTCTTGCGGTCATTCCTACTACTGTGGGTTACGAGATTCACAGATACATGTACAGGGTATTAGGGTTAGAGACAAGGTAACTCCTTCCCATTTTAAGTTAGATTAAGAATAATATCAACCGGTTACCATTCATTGTAAGTTTAAGAATAATATATCAACAGGTTAATAATAAGTGTGTGTGTACTTACAGAAAGAGGGATTAAACACACCTTCGTTACCTGCCGTGTAACTCAGACCTACGATGCCGGTGCCTGTGTTTACTTCTACTTTGCGTTCAACTACCGAGGTCTCTCAGATCCTGTGCATGTGTATGAGGAAATTGAGGTAGGTTGTCATAGTATTAATTTACTTTTTGTTGCAAGAATTAAAGCTAAACTTGATGATGCAATATTAAGAACTAGTGAAGAATTCATAATGGGGCAGTTTACCGATTCATGGTACAGTACAGCATAGTGTTATATGATGTTGACTAATATATTCAGACATTAATAGATTTAGTGACCTGCAGTGATCAATTGCCTCATGAACTATTTTGCTTTATTTTGTACATTTGAAAATATGAGATATATATGATGGTAGTTGTAGAATATTTTACATTTTATTTAATTTAGGTAATTGAAAGTAAAGTTGGGTAGATTTTTCTTTGTTTATTTACATAAGTTGGTTTTTCTATATAATTATTTCAGGGTAACGCACGCAATGAGATTCTGGGATGTGGTGGCAGCATCTCCCACCATCACGGTATAGGGAAGGTGCGACGTCAGTGGATGAGCCAAACCTTCTCGGAGCCTAGTTTAGGTGCTATCAAGGCCGTTAAGCAATATTTTGATCCTGAAAATATCTTTGCTAATGGCAATTTGTTGTAAAGATTTTTTCGTCGACTAATATCCGATTCCATTTGTATTGTTTATCTTGTTGGTCCTTTGTGTTAATTTACACTGAAGTGAAAGAAAGGAAGACCGATAAATGCCGTCTTAGTTATTTTGGCATTTCATGAATTTAGATGAATTAAATGCTGTAAATTTATAACATTAGTAAAGGAATCACATTTTTTATATGTGGTCATCCCTAACTTTAAACTATACACATATATGTATGATAACTACAAGTGCAAATATAAATTAGATATACAGTATTGATTTATTAGATATGGAGAACAATTCTGTATGCAGATTTTTGAAAGATATGATGAGTTATACTGTATATATTTTATCAGTGATGGACGACAAGTTTTAATAGTTTTGAATATTCAGTAGTGTGTGTGTGCAGGGTTTTTCTGGTCCATTTTTTAATGCAGTTACATCAATGTTGACTTTCATATAATGGATTTGTGATCATATATATAGGACTGAGTTTGATCTGTGCTTATAAAGCATAAAAATATTTACTGATACTGTCTTCTGAAACAAATTCCAGAAGATGTAATGTAACATCAAAAATACTTCACTAGTGTTGTAGGAGACAACACATACTTCTTTTACATTGTTGTTCAGTACATGTTACTGTACTAGCTCGGTTTTCAAGGAGACATATTGACTAGCTGAAAACCACAAGTACCATTCATTAAAGGTTTGTTTTGCATTTAATTCCAATTTGAAATTGGTTATAGTATTTTTATATTGTGTAGGAATGCTGTGAGAGGAAAGTTCCTCAACTCATGACAGGGCTTTTAAAAATAACAGCAGGGGAGTCTTCTGTTACAAAATATGGAACAGTATTGGCAATATTGCCCCCAGCTATACTAATTATTCCTGGAATTAAGTTATTAGTTGTAAACAAACTTCAGCAGACACAGTGTAAAAGATAAGACTTTTCTTATGAAAACATTCAATTTTATTTTCACAGCCTACAGCTCATTATTGAGTGAGATGTGAGATATCTCCTCTAGAAATTCCTTTAGCAGTGGCTGCCATGACCAAGGAGCGTCACACATTCCAGCAGCGGGCTACACTATTCTCTTGGCCCATTGACTTGTCCCGTGCTCTCCACCATAATATAAGATTTCTTGCCCGAGTCCTCCATTTTCTTTGATGTCATTGGTACTTTAGTATCACGTTAAATACTTAAGTTTTGACACATTGAAATTGGGCTAGAAAATCCCTGCTGATACATAATTTTCTTGTGGTAAAAGAAGTGTACAGTTTCAGTATAGTTATTTGGTATTTTTTACTTGCATTATTTATACTGTATGCCAGACATTTACTACTTAAACTAAAGCCAAGAGAAGGATATTGAAACACTTGACCCTCCTGTGTATTCTCAAAACTGCAGATACAGTATAAACTTGAGTGCTATTATACAACTGTTTCCTCGTTAGTGTGTATTTGTACGCATGAGCTTACGGATGCACACACATTCAAACTATATACGTACAGGTATATGTAAATTCCAACCTTAATTTGTGCCTTGATACTTTGATGGTAATCCTTTATTAATCAGAAACCATATTTAGCATAAATATAACAGATACATCAAACAAATGTATTTAACATGGGTAATACTGTGTACTTTTTTTTTCACAGGTTGCATGCACTGTTTGAGAGTCTTAGCACCATAGTACTTGGCAGAGACTTTGTTTTGCAGTTTTAAACATTTTTTTTTCATTTGAATCCTTTTCTCACTATAATGCAGGATGGGTGAAAGCACGTATATATAGACTTTTCTTTCATTTGCAGTCTTTCATTCTGTGATGGCTGTAGCTGATGTGTTCCACTTTGGTGTTCCCCTTCCATAATTTAGTGAGAGTGGGTCCCAGGAGGCTCTTTGGCTGGTACTGCATTCTACTGCTTTTTTTTATCTGACTGTAAAGTTAGGTCCCATTCACAGGTGGGTAGACTAAGGGTTTCCCATAGCACAAACCAGTGACCCTTAGGACAGGAGGCAAATGCTGTATCCACTCAGCCACTGCACCCACATGTTAGTAAGACAATTGCTTTTGTTAAACTTGTGCTGGTCTTCATTTCATTTTAATTTGTATAGATATAAAAACATTTGAAAACAAAGAAGCCACTGACATCAAGTATCTGTATGTATATATTCAGTGATTGTTTGGCTTAATTTTTTGGGGGGGATGTGCATTCAACTCATTATAAAGTCGGGTAAAAGAAACTTGGTTCACTGCCTTTGATTGCTGTGTTCAGTGTATAAAGCATGAAGGTTATAGGAAGGATTCAGAGTAACTTTAGTGTCACGTTTTTAAATGAAACTTGAAGTAGAAATTTCCATCTTTTTATTTAGATTTCAATTTAAATCAAGAAGCTCGTTTTGTACGGTAGTCATTTTAACAAAACAGATTGCATGATAATGATGTGGTCTTCAGATTAAATACCTTCATTCTGTAGAACATTATATATTATATAAAAGGGATTACATGTGGGCAGACTTAATGTACAGTCACCTGCACTTATACCTCATACAGTGGCTGGCACGTTTTGTGAGATTTGGCAACTCTGTGGAATACTACTTAGTCTGTCTGGCTACTATTGTGAGGTTCCTTACGGCCATTCTGAGAGCTTTAGTACTGTACGATGTAAACAAACACAGATTTGCCATGTCTCACAAAATGTGCCATCTACTATACCAGGTATAAGTGCAAGAAGACTGTACATATGGCATACTGAGGCACAAAGCTGCATGCACAAAGTCAAGGTTCTCAATTGCTTCTTGCCATAATGTTTTTCTCGGTAACTGGTTTACTGTATCACTGTAGTTTGATATCTTTACCTTTCCATATTCTGGTATAGAGTCTCTTACAATAAAGATTCACTATTTCTATGTCCTTACCATTTGTAGTTATTCATAGAATTTACTGTAGGGTGTTGTTTTCTGATCTCAGTTATATATTTATTCTTTTATTGTGGTAGTACAGTGCTATGATAGATTTAGCTGTAGCTGTTGTTTTAATATGATGCTGTGATTATATTGGTTAATTTGGTATAAAAAGATTCCTTTCTGGATTAGTCTACCTAAGTTGTAAGGTGAGTCATCTGTATTGCTTGTGTTTATGGAGAGAGTCTTATATTTTAACTTGTTTATATTGGGTAACTTGTCCTCAGATTGGCTGGCTGTGTTATGTGTTTCTGTCATTTGGGTTGGTCATCATGGAGGTACGGTGATATGAACGAAGGTGCCCTGATTTGTATCTGTTTAGAATACAGGTATTGAATTAGGTGACTCATACATAAATTTGCTTTATTGGTAAAGTCTTCATTAAAATTGGTTGCCATGAGTGATGAAATTTTCTGTTGGTGTAATTATGTGAGTGTAATTTTGAACATAAATTTATTTTGCTGTTCTGATAATTATCCCTGTTACATGTATACTGTGGGAGGAAACTTGGAAGTGATGTCCATGAGTGTTCATATCAGACTTGTGAACATGATAACTTGAACAAAAATTAATTTATATGGAATTTTGTCAATGGATACAATTCAACAATATTTGGAGTTTGATATAAAATGTTTTTCCTTTTTATTTTGGGGGAATTTTTGGCTATATTTGGGTTGTGAAGGGATTGTGTACTGTACTGTGTTTGGGTTGGTTTCTCTATAGTGAGGGGGCCTTGATGTGCTGGCTGTTGTTAGTTTTGTAATATGTGTAATGAAAGATTAATTTGTCATGGTAGTTAATAATAATTTATTATTTTTTGCTCAAGAGTTTTAGGGAAGGAGTGTTTAGTGCACTGTGATTATTAGTCATGATCATTACATTGTGTTCTATTATTAGGATGTTAGGACTAAAGTAAATTTCAATCCTTAACACAAGAAATAACATGGTCTAATAATAGCAATTTTTAATACAAGTATAGACTCCAGATTCTTAAATTGACATCGATACAGTTAACATCTTGCTTAATGTATCTTTGATCTGTTATGGGGAGGGATGCCTTAGTGGACATGTTTGACAATGATAACTACTGTATGTCGTCTCTCCTTGTGCTGGTTAAGTATATACCCAAGGGAAGATGCACACTTACTGTAAATGGTATCTTTACGGAGGGGCCCGATGTTGTCTCGGTAGGGTTGTCAAAATCACTCGTCCGTTGTGTCATATTATTTCACACAAAATCGTAAAGATACTTTTTGAAGTGTGTGTATTGTAGTTTTTATGTTTTATATTGTTAAAATGGGTAACCATGTCCAGTATAGTACTACCATTCATTTCTGTGTCTCAGTTTTTTTATGTTGACTTGTTCCTATCCATTTCCATCCTCACAGTTGTCTTTTGTGTGGAATGTGTAAGATCTATCTTTATCGCTTAATTGCTATAACTTACAATTTATTTGTAGTATAATTATATCACTTGGTTTATAGAATTGATTTGAGTGATAGTCACTTAAGAGGTATGTAATTTTTCTTAGTTTAAGTGAATTATTGTGGAATTGCACAAGGCTCTCTATATACAGTATACTATATGTGTGCTTACCATATTCTGGTAGCAATTACTGTGCAGTAATCAGTAGTACAAGTAGTAAATTTTTGTTACTCTTCAAGTGTAGCATATTGTTCGCCTTACTTCTATGCTTTAATATTTGCTTCTTGGGACACAGACAAAAAAGGTTCGTGTTTCATGTGCTTTGTTGTTGAAGTACTAAGCAGTAGTTTCTTTATTGCAAATGCACTGAAATGGGCAATGATTTTCAGTGACGAAGGACTTGATGGAAATTTTGCTTTATTTGCTTTTATTTTTTTTATGCATAGCAGTGTTTCCCTGCTTGTGACACAGGCTGGCCAGGTGGGTGGGTGCTGATCCCCCACTTCTAAACAACCATCAACTTAGTTGTTTGTAAGTGTTGTTTTTTCTTCCTTAGCAAGTGCACCGTTTAGTAGTGTATTGTACAGTACTCATTGTTTTGCTGAGTGCACATTGGCCAGTGTACAAGGTTGGAACCCAATCTTCCACTCTGGCTGGGAATCAACCTGAGAATCTTCACTTATGAGGGAGATGCTCCACCATTGGCCTAAGAACCTTTGCTATTCATGCATTTAGTTTTACATCTTTATTCTGGTTTCCATGGAACCAGAAGTTGAAAAGTTGCATAAAGCCTGACCAAAATAAATTGAAATTAGTTTCTGGAAAAGAAGTATCTTAACAGATTATGGTTGAAATACTATATGTCATGGAAGTGGCAATATAATCTCCCATGTTATCAATAGTAAAGTCATTTGAAGTGTGTATAATGACATAAACTGCATATTGTAAGTTCAGCATCACAGGGAACATTTTGTGTATTGTAGTATTTTACTTAAAGTTATTCAGGATTTGTTCACAAAGATGTGATTTAATATAGTAATGTTAGTCTTTGAACATTGTTCATATTGGACAGGTGTTAATATGGTATTGAAGAAAACATGTAAGAGATGGATCTTTTTATTCCTGACGTTTCATCAGAAGACTTTTTCAAACGAATGAACATTACATACTTTGAAATGTCAGGAATAAAGCTCCATCTCTCAGTCATGTTTCTGTCTTTATCTTAATATACTTCAGTCATCACAGCAATATATTTCAGGCTATTCAGAATTATACATTAGTCTTCACATCATACAGTTAAGCATAAATTTTTAAGGTAAACCATATATGATTATAATTGGTGTTTTATTTCTCAAAACTACCAGTTCTTTAAAAAATCATTAGTTGTCAATGTTCTAAAATGTTTAGGGCTGAAGAAAAAATAAAATGTTTTGAGTCCCACTGTGACAACAAATGACTACAACAGCTACTTGAAATAGCTTTTTATGTCGTTATTCTTCATTTACCACACAGTCAGCAGGATTACATATCCTGAAAAAAAGAAGATTAAAGGATCGGCTTTACCGTAAGTAAAAGATCCAAAATAGAATTAAACAAAAAGTCCAATGGATTGTGTACAAAGTCACCACAGGCAAGTGGGGTATGTATGACATGCCAAGATGCAGTCTCCAATTTTACTGGTAAAGATTTATTTAAACTGTTAAAGTCTTCTAAGAAATTTTTCCCCAGGTATGTAGTGTATTATGCAGCAAAGGTGAAGAATTACTTGGTTTTCAACCTTATTACGTATGTTACTGTCACGACACATCTTACTCTCGGAGTGTGGTAAGTGACGATCGTGAAATGAACAACTGTGATTAAATTATTTGTACCCTGTGATATGTGTTGGCATCACTTTAGAAATTATACATATTTTAAGAACATTTCAGTTTTCATTAGTGTGAATCTTGTGTTCTTATACAGGCATTAACTGACAAGATGAGTATTAGCATAGTGAATGTTTACTGTCAATTGTTTTTACCCCTCTCTTGTATTGATGTGGGGTGGATCAAGGGTACAGAAATGTCAAGGAATGGGGAAGTGTTAAGGTGAGCATCAGAACATACTCTCAGAAAGTACCCAACATTGTTTTACCGTTTATTATCTTTACTCCTCTCCCACTTGTGTGTCGGTGGATCAAGGGCTACAGAGATCAAGAAGGAAGCTATATAGTACTGTAATAAGGTAGTATAGTAGTGTAAAACATGTAGGGAGTGAACACCATTGCTCTAATGTTCCTTGACGTACTTCCCTGAGTGATTAAGCGTATGTGGATGTTTCTAGTTGTTAAGTCGGCATTTGTATGTTAGTCTCCAATCTTCTGTCGTAATACTCCCAATATTCCCTGCCCAATATCCTTTGAGGTTTCTGTACTTATTAATCCAGCTCACACAATACAGTAGTGACAGGAGTAAAGACAATAAATACAAAGATAGATCGTTGGTTCCTATAACTGGAATGGTCTGATTATCTGTTACTGGCATTTATGATAATGAAAGGCAAAAGCACAAAGAATAAGATTTAAGAAATTTAATAAACAGAATTGTATTGACTGATGTTTTGTGGTGATCTCATTAAAATGCTGATGATTATTTTATTAGATATATATGGGCTATGATGTGAAAAGTATTGACATTAGATAGATTCTTTGATACCAAAGTACAGTATGTATGCCAAGTATATTGAGTAAAGAGTATTTGTTGTGTTGGATTGTGTGAATTATATTGTTCTCAGCAAAATTTTAATTTGGTCTGATTATTGTCCACCATAAAGTTGTTTTATTGTACGGTACAAAATTTGTATCGACGCTTTTTATGAATGAAGAAATCCTTAAAGGAATAGTCAATGATAAAAAATTAATAAATGAATGCTAATAACATACTTTTTTCACTTCAATTCTAACCTAAGAAATAAAGTACACAATCTCCAAAAAGTAGCTTTAAGGAGGTACTACTAGGCTTGGTAAATCCCTCGGTGGCAGCAGTCATGAAATTCTACAGTCTTAGGATGAAGGTACATCAATTTACTGTGGCTATCATGGCAAAGATTAATCAGTACAGGACTAGGATACATATGACCTGAATCTTAGAATTTATAAACTTGTCTCATAAGAAACCTAACCTTAGTATGTTATCTAATAACCTCAACTGCTAAACCATAACAAAAAAGAATGTCTAGATTATGGTTTTTATAACGAATATTCTTCATAAATTATCTTTACAATTATTCTGTGTATTAATATTTTCCTTAAACCGAGGCAATTTTTGGATCACCTGATGATTAGCCTTTCTTATTTCACCAGATGATTAAACACCCTGTTGCTACATGGAGGGCTAGGTTAGAATTAGGGTGGTTAATCTTACGGTCAAATATGGTGGGGGGCTAATCTTCAGGTGGTAAAATATTTGCCATGTTATTCTTGTACAGAGGAGCATAGGGTGGTTAATCTTCAGGTGAAACGGGAGCAGTTATAAAGTACCGTACAATTTATTTTATTTTTTTTAAGAGGAAGGGAATTGCCTTCTTCAGATGATAACTCATATTTGTAACTCAGAATGTTGTTAGTCCCATTGCATTATCGGGTATTAAAGAGATTGTTAAATACATTAAATGCATATTAAACTAATTTCGGCTTACCGTTAATTATGTTTTTGTGTTTTGAGTGCAGGTGTTTCAAAACGTCTTCACTTCATTGAAAGTCGGACGAATAGCATAAGCTTCTTTAATAATACTTAATGTGTTATTCTCGGTGTATGTATGCATATATAGTCAATAAAATTTGACAAACAACCATAAACAGGTGCAGTAACCAATCAGAAGTTAGGAGGGGTAGTAATGACCAATTAGAGGGCAGGAGGAGGTAACTCAGTAAGCACAGTGGCAGTGCTCAACCTCCCACTCACCCGTGAAAGTGTGTGTCCTTTTTGTGTGCGTTTATTAGTGTTTATAAGTGAATAACATCATCAACATTCATATTATAACAAACTATTAATCTCCCAAGAGTGACCTATTTAGTATTAAGTGAAGAAATGATTTGTTAATAAGAGAAATGACGAGGTGACAGGAGGGAACTTTAAACAACATAAACACGTAGGTGAGTACAGGTGCTTTGTTGATCTATCGTCTTATTAATGTTTATGTGTACAGTATGTATAGTACACATACCTTTTATTTATTGATTATTTAAGGTGCTAGCCATGATTATGAAATTGTAACACATATTTCACGTTGAGTTAAAGGGGTTAATATTTAGTAGTGTTAAGGACAGAATTCTAGAATGAGTCTTATATAAGGAGACACTGTAGAGAAAGTAAAATACTGTATAGCGTTTTGGATGGAAATTTATAACATTCGAGTTATTTAATTGGTTTATATCCCTGATTTTTTTTTAGAGAAATTGCGAAATAATCAGCTATTTACTTATTATCTAACCAATCAGCGGATTTTGGGATGTTACGTTATACTTCATTCATACTTGTGAGCCAATCAACTGAACTGAATGTTGGTGCTTGGTGGACTGGAGGGTAATTTAGCAATTTTTTTGAGACGGGAATTTTTGAGCAAGCTGCACCTGATGACATATTAAGGACTCGTGATGTTCTCCCTTCAGTCAAATGTTCAAGGTTTGGTTGTGTTGAGGGTATGTTAGATTAAATTAGGTAAAAGTTGGGTTAGATTACGGATATGGTAAGTTGAATTAGATGATGGTTAGGATAAAGTAGGTTACGGTGGGTTAGGAGTAGGTTAGGTTAATTTATGCTCAGGAATAAAGGTAGGTTACGCTGAGTTAGGCTCTTAAAATAACAAAAATAAATGGTAAAATTGTTTTGTTGGTAGTCTCGCTTTCTCTCTTTTTCCTCTTGTTTTTGTTTATTTTATTCTCTTCCTTTCTCTTGTTTTCGCTCTTCCTCTTCTTGCTTTCTCTCGGATTCTCTCTCTCTCTCGTAGTTCTAATCATAATCAACAAATCCGTCTCAGCGCCGCAAAGGATTTTTCACCCTCCTGGAGAACAAAGGCTGTCTCGGTCTCAAAAAAAAAAAAAAAAACGCTTAACGAGGCAAACCCGATAAGAGGCGGCGATTTCTGCACCAACAATGGGAGAGGTTCTAGAATTCTTTACTCTTTCATGTTTGTTTTTTTCGACACTTTTTATTTTTATTTTTTACCTACGTGTACCTCGAAGCTTTGGTTCGCCATCAAAAGCCCCAATTTAGTATTTTATTTCTGGGATTTTTCTTGCTTCTCGTTACGTATATTTGTTACCTGGAGAGTGAAGGAGGACATTTGTGAATCGTTTTATATTAACTTCTGTAACATATCACATCACTGACCCAGATGTAGTGTGTGTGTAACTAGCCAGTCAGGCGTATACATAACACTTTAAACACCACAACTACCAATCACAGACTAGGGCGCGGGTAACTAGATTACGGTCTGATATATATCGTATAAATGTCTTTGACGTAAGGGAAGGAACTATGATTTAGTGTCGCCTTTGAGTTGTCCAGACGAATCGTAGGACACCAAGTTACGTTCCATGAAAGTTGTAGAAATTCTGTTGCGCGAAATCTTACGGAAACTTGAAGCTAGAATGCCACAGAAATGTTTTTAATATTTGTCATTATGTAAGTTCCAAAGAATGATAGAGGAAGGAAATATATTTATTCTATTTTTATCTTAATATTTTTGGTTTGAGTTTGGCATTTCTCTATATATAATAATTATACAACTTAATGGAGGCATACATATCTTGGCATTCATATGCAACTTACTAAAGGCATACATAACACCGTGGCGGCATATATAAAAAAAAAAAATTAGATGAAATTTTGGGTGAGGTAAAAACTTTTGAACAAAGACTTATTAATTTATTAAATCAGACTCAAAATGGTTCGTACGATAATATTTTTATTAGCTCAAAGGTAGTGATTAATTGGATAACTCTTAAGTACACACACACACACACGCACAGGAATTACGCTCATAAATCAACATATATTTTCTGCATAGAGTACAGTACCATTTTCTGTTGTTATATATGACTGTTTTTGAAGGGGTTCCTTAATTAAAAGTTGAAACTACTCCCACGCGGATTAATTTATGTTACCCTGTAGCGACTGGTCAATCTCTGTCTGTTTCTCTGTCCGTTTTTTTCCTTCCTACTTATCGTGATTCTAGTTATCTCTTTCTTTTCTTTATTCTTTTTGTTTCTTTTTTACTCTCTTATTCCTATCACTTCCTTTCATCTCTCTCTCTCTCTCTCTCTCTCTTTCTCTCTGGGGGTTCGACCTCAGAAACCAATCTTGTGATAACTAATTTTCTTCTTGTAAGTTGAGGGACCGGCTCCATTCTCTGTCTCTATCTCTGCCTGTCTGTCTGTCTCTCTCTCTCTCACACACACAGAAATAATAACAGACATCTAACACTTAGCGCACTTATCCAATACCTAACGCACTTACCAAACTAGCGAAGCACTTACCAAACTAGCGATGCACTTACCAAACTAGCGATGCACTTACCAAACTAGCGATGCACTTACCAAACTAGCGATGCACTTACCAAACTTCTAACGCACATATCAAACTGCTGACGCACTTCCTTTCTAAACTTTGAAGTGCGTGTAGCTGATGGGGGAAAACTTGTGGCTTAGGGTTTACTACACGTTAGCTTGAGTTGTGTTCATGTGTGTGTGAGTGTTGTTGAGTGTTAATCAACGTAACATTAATCTAATTTGAACTAACCTAACCTAACCTAACCTAATCTAACCTAACCTAACCTAACCTAACCTATCCCAACCTAACTTAATGTAGAGGCGATAATTACAATATAGTGTTTTCAGAAGTACGATGATTTTCCCAAAAGTAAAAAAAGTAAAAGTAATATTATGAAGGAACCACCTGTTGGTATCCTCGCCACCGCTATCTACGTAATACATCTTAATTAACAAGAATCTTCCCAGAAACTCTAATGATATCAAAAGTTGTTCCCGCCACTCTGGTTAGGCGATTAAAGTTTGGTCAGTCATTATCGTTCGCTATCAGGTTTACTTCGTGTTATGGAAAAATCATAAATAAAATGGAAAATATATGACGTGATATTTTTGTTGTTGTAATGGTCAAAACATCAACATCACCTGAGTATTAGACAGCTTAGTTTATTTCACCTGATAATTAGCCAACCTAACGCTATCTGGAGTCTTGGGGTAGGGCAGGTTAGATTAGATTAGGGTACGTTAAGATAGGGCAGGTCAGGTTAGATCAGGGTAAGTTAGGGTAGGTTAGGTCAGCGTTAAGGTGATTAATTATCAGGTGAAATAAGAAGATGGTGTGTCAATTCTTCAGGTAAAGTCAACATCATGAGAGCAGCACACGAAAACTAGTCTTCATTCACTCTTTAAGATAATTTTATTTCTTGTGGATAATATTTATTCCTCACGGGGGAGATATTATACACTTTACACAGGTTTTTGACACAGTTCATCGATACATTCTTCATTAATAGCCTCAACAGGAAGTTATAAGTCACAAGTATCACTTTACCCCACGTCAAATCATCTCAAGGGCAGACTGCTGTAAAATATCAGGTCAGGCGTTGAATGAGCTCTCGCCTTATTTTAGAGTCACACACACTGGGCAGTTCCAGGAGAGGTCTTAAGGAGGTTCTTGTAACAGTTTACCAGTTTGATCTTGTCTCTTCCAATTTCCAAGAGGTATAGGTGTAGCAATATACTTGCAGTGTACAGGATAAAACGTCGTATTCTCTGTATAGGATGCCACAAGCTCGTTATTTTGGGTGTGTAACCGATCATATTTCTTGTTTTTCGCTTCCCGAGAAAGACATTGACGTAATCTTCACACAACATTAACTCAATAACTTGTT